TTGACCAGCAGGGACGGGTCCGGGGCCTCTCTGCTGGCCCAGGCCCGGGCCGAGAGCGACGTGATGGCACCTCCGGCCTGGACCAGCACCCGCGAGGCCTTGGTCAGGCGGCCTGGGGTGGGGGAGGGGCGTGAGTGACCACCCAGTGACCACCCCAGTGACTCCCAGTATCCACCAGTATAACCCAGTGTCCACCAGTACTGCCCATTGTACCCCAGTGCCCTCCCTGGACCAGCACCCGCGAGGCTTTGGTCAGGTGGCCTGGGGTGGGGGAGGGGCGTGAGTGACCACCCAGTGCCCACCAGTATCACCCAGTGCCACCAGTAACCACCAAAACCTTCCCCCATCCCCCCAAACCAGCACCCACGAGGCTTTGGTCAGCTGGCCTGGGGTGGGGGAGGGGCGAGAGTGACCACCCAGAGGCTGACCAGTACTGACCAGTATCACCCAGTGTCCACCAGTACTGCCCATTGTACCCCAGTGCCCTCCCTGGACCAGCACCCACGAGGCTTTGGTCAGCCGGCCTGGGGGGGGAGGGGTGTGAGTGACCACCCCAGGACTGACCAGTGTTCACCCAGTGTCCACCAGTATCACCCAGTGTCCACCAGTATCACCCAGTGTCCACCAGTACTGCCCATTGTCCCCAGTGCCCTCCCTGGACCAGCACCCGCGAGGCCTTGGTCAGCCGGCCTGGGGTGGGGGAGGGGTGTGAGTGACCACCCAGAGACTGACCAGTACTGACCAGTGTCCACCAGTACTGACCAGTGCCACCAGTAACCACCAAAACCTTCCCCCATCCCCCCAAACCAGCACCCGCGAGGCTTTGGTCAGCCGGCCTGGGGTGGGGGAGGGGTGTGAGTGACCACCCCAGGACTGACCAGTGTTCACCAGTGTCCACCAGTATCACCCAGTGTCCACCAGTACCTTTCCAATCCCCTCCCAGTCCATCCCAGTACCGGTTCTGGGGTTGCACAGGAACAATGACACCGATCCCCGATCGTCCCCAATCCCATCCCAGTCCATCCCAGTCCATCCCAGTCCATCCCAGTTCGTTCCAGTGTCCCCCAATCCCCTCCCAAGCCCCACCCAGTGTCTCCCAGTCCCCCCCAGTACCGGTTCCGGGGTCACACAGGAACGATGACACCGATCCCCGATCGTCCCCAATCCCCTCCCAGTCCCTCCCAGTGC